GGGGGTAGAAATTAAGCTGGGTGAATTGCTAACATCAGCTAGTGCTTTCAAAATTAGTATGTCACTTCATACTTTGGCTCATTCCATTTCTTTTTAAAGCACGCCATTACCAACAGCATTACATTTCACTTCTAATTTACATAAACAAGAAAGTACCTGCTGACCAGTCAGTAGATACTGTTGTTTCCTTACACCAGTTGATACCAAATTATTTTGTAATGAAAATACTGGTGGGGAAATGAGATATTGTCTGGAATGAGGTATTTTCTTCCTCCTAAGCAAGCCGCTGCTGCTCAAGAAGGCCTGGCTTCTTACGCTGTGTTCCATGCAGAGACCACACTCCTACTGCTGCATGTTTCCCAGCTTTGTTCTGGTGCAGGCGAGTTCCCTCTAGCTACCCAAAGCATTGTGTGACACCTTGTTGTGGTTCGGCCCCAGCCAGCAGCTAACCACCACACAGCTGCTCGCTCACTCTTAGAGAAAATTAACTCTATCCCAGCCGAAACCAGGACACACCGAATGGCAGATCTACAGTATTCCAGGAACTCACGCCTGGACAGACTTCATGTGGGCAGATACGAAGACAGCCCTCAGTTTTTACAGCAGGAAAGATGCAGACAGAAATTATCACATGTCAGTTCACAGAGCTAGGAAGCTGAGTCAAGATACCCTTAAGGATAACATCCCTCAGGCTCAGCATAAAAATTATCAGCTCTAAAGGTAAAGGTCAAGTTGTTTACTTCTAATGAACAGCCAAGTCAGTTATTAGCCCCTGCAAGATGCAGGAAGTATTGTTTCTTTGGCGACTTTGCTATCAGTAGCCTGTGCAAGCCTAAAAACCAGCTATCAAAAAAGCAAACAAAAAAACCAAAACCATGGCCATGAGGTCTTCTGTGCCACCTCAGCAAGTCACCTAGCCTCTCTGGTTCACTGCTTCTCCACCTGGAGAAGAAACATACGCTTCAAGGCCTTTCACGCCCAACAGTGTTGAGGTAGCTAGGGTGACTCTGAGGGGGTGCAAGCTTGCACATGCTGGACTCCATCCACTCTGGGAGAAGGGACAAAGGAACACCCCTGTCATGATCAGCTGCAGTATCCCTCTTCTACAGTGGTGTAATATATGGGAGTCATATGGCCAACACCACTAAGTCTTAATATGTAAACCGCAAGCTGATTTCTGCAACTCAGACCATTGTCATGGCTAACTAATGCTACACAGACAGTCTAGAGTAGAAGATACTTGCTCTCCTTGTTCAGCACTGTTCTGGACTGCACCTTCCTCCAACAAGCCTTTATATATGTCCCCCTAATTCAATGCCATATTGAAAAGATGACAACATCCTCCCTCTCTCACCTATTTCTAGCACAGTCATTGCTCGCTTAACATTAGTAACTTTCTCTTTCAAGCCTAGATGTTACCTACCCTTGCCAAGCATGACCCCGACAACAGGGACTGAAATCTCCAGAGGATGCGGAAGAACGAGTACTGCAGCTGAGAAGAAGCGTGGCTGCAGCACGTACACCACACACAGGCAGCGTAACTCATGCCAGTGCTGCTCAGCCTGAAGAATCCATCAACAGCAGCCTTTGAACAAGGCTCAGTGGTTCACCAGCTCTTCTGCAGCGTGAGTGACAAAAACAGTACTAAGTTTAAGCTGTTTCCTTGTTACATGTCAGATGCAGCTTTCTTTTTAATACAGAGAGCAAGCCGTATGAGGTTTTTTCTTCTCCAAGGGCCAACTGGACAGGCTATGTCCATTGCTACTCCAGACAGGCCACAAATTATTAGATTAAAAAACTGTCACCATGAAATGCTACTTTACCATCAGATTTTGAGCACTCAACAGTAATTGTTTCCATCTGTGTGATCCACTCAAGACCAAACTATGATGCACAATTACTTCCACACACTGCTCCCAGCACTGGGAGCTCCTGCTCGCATACCGCTTTTCATGGCTATAGCAGCAAAGCAACACTTGCACTAACCAAAGATGTTCTACATGGGAGAGCAGGGATTCCCCCCCGCCCCCACCAAGTACCAAGAAATGCCTGTTAGCCACCCCAAAACTATGTGCATTTCCCAGGGAAAACCCTGATTACACTTTGAGTCCATGGGAAGTGGTGGGAAGTATCACCGTGCTGCTGCCGCCTCCTTCTCAAAGGCAGACCCTTGAGGTTTCACTCTTTTACAGAGGAAGTTGAACTCATGACTTGCACTCATTCAGGTTCTTACTCACACCAATTGGTCACTGTTTCTATTTGGGTCCTCTGGCCAGACCCACACCAGAATATTCCTGACATCTTACACCAGCTATAAATCCACTGTTTTTGTTTTTTTATATACACTGGTCCAGTAGTCCACTATTTTAGCCAAGAATACTTGCACCACACAGCTGCTCGCTCACTCTCCACTGTTCAGCTTGTCCACCCATCTATGTCAACTCTCCTTTGGATTCACCGTAGTGAAAAACTCTTGCTGGGAACTTCTCAAGTTCCAGCTTCCCAAAAAAATGAGGGCTTTGAAAAGACTTCTGTCGCAGTGCGCTGCTGAGTCAGAGTAACATGAAGCAGAGGGGCACAGCAGACAGTTATCTCAAAATGCAGCAAATGCATATAGACCTCAGTCCTGAACAGGCCCCAAATGCAAGCGCATGTTGTCCCAAGCCATGGCAACAACCGTACGTGGAGAACAACCTTAATGTGCAATGGCCAAAGACAGCTTTGCATAGTGGCAAAGCCCTTGGGGGAATTGTCTAAGTCCTGACAATTTTCCAAGTGATGTCAGCTTCAATACCCACTTTATCAGCTGGTCTTTACAGCAGTAGTACCCAAAGTGCTAGTGCCTTGCATAGCTGTAAAGCACTGACTTAGGTTTTGATTTGAGGCACATGTTAGTCTCATTTCTTTCTACCCCAGGTTAGTCTGTCCATGACCATGCCAGACACACCCAGCACATAGAAACCCTGAGTCTCCTTTCCTTCCCGAGAGCAGCTCCCACCTAAAGTGTAGTGCCTGGACAGCACATAGTGCCTGGACAGCACACTCCCTCCCGCCAAACAGCCGCTTTGGTAGCTCTGGCCACATCCTCTGCCACCCCAAGGTAGCCAGAACAACTATAGGTACTTAAGACTCTTCTGAACAGCTCAGGTCTGTTTGCGATATTCACTGCAACAAAGGAAGAGAGGCAATGATGGTTTCTGGCTTCCCAGCCTGGATGAGTATCTTATCACTGAAGAAGCCTGAAAGAAGGCACCAGAGTTGGCATGACAGCATGAGTCCCCATGCTGATGGTGAGGGGGTGAGTACACCCCCATGATGTACGAGCAGAGATTTTTACAACCAAAGCCTGTGAAACACCGACGAGAATAAACTTGGTCTCTAGGCAAGTGTCCTTACCAGCAAGACACAGTTACCAGAAAAACCCAAACTAAATACTCCTTTTTCCAATGGGGAAAAGGCAGGGACCACACCCAGCCTTGCCAAAATCCCAGAGTTTTTGAGGCTGGAAGGGACCTCTGAAGCAGGGTCAGCTAGAGCAGGCTGCCCAGGACCATTGTCCAGTCAGGTTTGGAGTACCTCCACAGATGGAGACTCTGCAACCTGGTTCTCTGGGCAACCTGTGCCAGTGTTTGATCACTCTCACAGTAGAAAAGTATCTTCCTCTTATTGTGTTCAGAAGGAACCTCCTGTGTTTCAGTTTGTGCTCATTACCTCCGGTCCTGTCACTGGACACTACTGAGAAGAGTCCAGCTCCCTCTTCCCCATTCCCTCCCATCAGGTATTTATACACATGGATAGGCCCCCCTGAGCCTTCTCTTCTCCAGGCTGAACAGTCCCACCTCTCTCAGCTTCTACTCATATAAAGATGCTCTCATCCCTTAGACTAGAACAGAACCATTAAGGTTGGAAAGGACCTCTAAGATCATCTAGTCCAACTGTCAACCCAATACCACCATGCCTACTAAACCATGTCCCAAAGTGCCACGTCTACACGTTTTTTGAATGCCTCCAGGGATGATGACTCCACCACCTCTCTAGGCAGCCTGTTCCAATGCTTGTCCACTCTTTCAGTAAAGAAATTTCTCCTAATATCCAATCTAAACCTCCCCTGATGCAACTTGAGGCCATTTCCTCTCGTCCTATCACTAACTACTTGGGAGAAGAGACCAACACCCACCTCACTACAACCTCCTTTCAGGTAGTTGTAGAGAGTGATAAGGTCTCCCCTCAGCCTCCTCTTCTCCAGACTGAACAATCCCAGTTCCCTCAGCTGCTCCTCATAAGACTTGTGCTCCAGACCCTTAATCATCTTCTCAGCCCTCCTCTGACAATTTGAGCCTGCACCAAGCACTGCAGCGAGCCCCACAAGAGCAATGGGTGACAGAGTAAGCCAGCATACCATATTGAGGCGACACGACACACAGATGGACCAGCTAGCTGCCAAGATAAGTTACACTGTCCTCCTTCCCTTTCCCAGAAATCTGTGTTTTTCCACAGAAAAAAAGCTTCAGAAAAAAACAAAAGCCCAGGAATGATTCCAGTGGCACCAGTAGATTACTTGTGCGTCAGTTTTCTTGAGCCCATCAAAATCTGCCCACTAATTCGGTAGCAACTGTACATTTGAATATTACAAGCTTTAACTGTGCAGCCTTCAGTTAAAACTTATCAACCAAAAGACAGGCAGAATGAGAGTTGTGGCAAATCTAAAGACAGCAAAAAGCATGTATAACAACCTCAGCATAAGGATTCCCTTGAGGGATCAGCATTAAGGATGTTCAACAGTATCTTCCAACAGCCAGAGAACTGTTAGAGACACAACAGCAAAATAAAGCAGGAAAACAGGCTATAAACAGAATCACTACTTCAAACAAGTCTCCACCTCTCCCAGCCCCATTAGGGCCAGATGCTGGTAACCATATTACTTCAAGGTCAACATGTACTCATGCATTTGCAAGCCAGAAAGGGTCACGATTACATTGTACCATGGCTGCTAGGCATACCTGTGTTTTTAGGCCCATCTGCATACACTGGTCCTGGAGGTGGAGGTGCATTTTGCCATCCATACTGGGGATAACCTTGATAACCTGGCTGGCCTGGCTGGTACGGCCCAGTAGGTCCGGGAGGATAGCCTGGGTACGGGCCAGGAGGACCACCTGGTTGCTGTGCATAGGGTGGGTAAGGGGCGGTCGGGCCCGGGCCAGGGTAAGGTGGAGGATTTTCGTAGTTCATGTGGGATGCAGAATCTGTCCTGCAGAAGAAAGAAAACAAACAGAAGAACTGGTTTGCTTTTGTCTGCTTCATCCATGACCACACAGTTCTCATTTCAGACTGCTCTCCAGAGGGCCCTACATTAAGTGTGAGAAACAGACCTCAAAATACCTGGTCAAGTAGTGAGTTTATTTTTAACCCTATCATAGGGGCAGAGACTGAGTTGACATGATTTCTTCTAAGTGACATGAGTTTAGCTTAGCAGCAGAGTGACTTGCTGCTTTCCAGTCACGCATCAGCTAATCACCCTAAGACATTTAACAGTCTTGCAACCGCAAAGCAAAATCCTCTGCTTCCACTCATGATTAAATTGCTTTTAAGAGAGATTTAGAAGTGATTACTTCATGTTTCTGTCAATATTATAAAAGAAAAACATGCAGAAACGCAGGCTGTTCCAGACACGTTTGATAGCTTTGACAGGAGAAAGAGTGAACACAAATGTCCATTACACTTCTGCTAATTGTTACAAGCATCTAGACTAGCATTTTGGAGCAGGACTGTATATGAATAATTTCCTGATGACACTGTAACCCAACACATCGCGTATTCTTCCAGTAATATGCAACTGAATCATTAAGCAGCCACAAGCACTCAGGACCTTGGGCTGAGTCTCATTCAAAAAGCAACATCAAAAACACCTCAGAGTTGATGTTCATAAAACCTATCTAACATATTATTCATGGCACAGCCAACAGAAGACAAGACTGTCACAATAATGCAACTTTAATTAGCCTCTAAGCAGCATGACTAAGCAAACCATTTGTTATGTTAGGTTTCTGAAGCTTCTCCCTGTTTGAGAAACAGAAGTGTCCTTAATACCACGTGTTCAGGAACCATCCTGACTGAAGTAGCTGTACTCTGCTATTTCCTTTTACCATTACAGGGTGCAGAAGGGTCACCATTTCCCCTTTGCTGCACACCTCCTCCCACACACCGCAGGCTTCAGGGAGAAATACCAGGAACATAATTTGCCTCCACTGAGACTCGCTTCTGCCAGCATGGAGCAGGAGAAGCTGACAAGCAGGATCCTCGTTGGATGGTATTGGAAAGTGCAAGCAGCCTGGCTAGACTGGACTGGATACTCAGCACTCACTCTTGGGGATGCGCAGATTTTGAGTCCAGAGGAGACCATTAGCACATCTAGACTGAGCTCTGGCTTGAGGCAGATTAAAGAATTTCACCTTTGTAACTCTACAGCGAGCCCAGAGCAGTCATCTGTGGGGCAGAAGCCAAGTGAGTCAAGCCCCTGGGGCTATGTTTAGCTGCTGCAGTCCCTGTGTTGAAGTGAGCTGTGTTTGTTTACGGCTTGCTATTTCATCACCTCAGAGAGTGCCAACGGTCCCTCCCCAAGGAAGGACCCCTAGGCTCTCTGCTTATTTACACATTATGCCTGCCCGAACCGAACATCGCTAGCATGATGCTCACCACTGTACAGGCACCATGGGGCTCTCCCATGCATGCAGCCCTGTCCCACTCTCGCAGTAACAGCCAGTCTGATTACACACGATGCCCAGGACGGCACTGGCGACTCGAAATTACTCCAGGGCTGACGTGCCTCCCATGATGACATCAAGAAGCCCTTCAGTCTCGGCAGGCTGGGTCTTCCCAGGCCTTGCCAGCCTGTAGTTGTCATTCACCTGAATTCATTCTAACACTCCTCTTGCTGTGCAAGCCGGACAGAGTCCCCATTAACTGCTAAGGCAGTGCTGTTACCTTTCAAATTATATCTCTTAATGTCTTTGACAAAAGTTTTAACTGTTTAACCAATGGCAGGGATTAGACGATTTTTTTTTTTCCATTGCCAGGCCAGCCAGACCACTTAACTGCTCATTAAAACGGCCAAGCACAACATACATTTACCTTGAGGCTCTTTAACCACAGTACTGCACTGCCAACACCTCTACCAAGTCTGCAGCAAAGAAATTCTCCCTTCAGAGAGCCAGTGAAAGGCAGGCAGCAAGCCCTACAACTCACTTCAATGCAACAAACTAGAGAATTGGGACATAATGGGTCACTAACGTTCATCTAACCCAGAAAATCATCCCAAAATAGCAGCCAAAAGCAAGCTCCCAGGGAAGAACAAGGCCAGAGTGAGTGCATGTGTATGCTTATATACCGTTGCACGTGGCAGGGTAACGATTTGGTGCCCAAGCCAGACAGGGCCCAAGCAACCAGCAGACCCCTGTGAACGCCCCCCAAGTTTGCTCAGCCTCCCTGAGCCAAGTTATAGCTGCAGGGCCTGCTCCTGGTGCGAGGGGATCCAAAGCCCTGCTGCGTGCCCTTTGGAAAACTGCCTCCTGCCCCACCAGGGTGACTGCAGGAGGTAGGGATCCGCGGCCACCCTCCTGAATTTCGGGATTCACCAAAGCAGGGAGGAGGCATACATTCCAGGCTGAAGAGCCCCAGCCCACTGTCTGGCTCCTCAGGCAGAAGCCAGCCCCTCCACCCACCTCCCCCTTCTCTGAGCCCCTCTAGGTCTGTTCTAGGCTGTAAGTTGGCATCCTAGATACATATGTATGTGCATATATATACACACACACACAAGACATTCAAAGGCAGCAAATCGCAGATCATGATTTTTTGTTCACAAACCTTTTCTTTAGAACCCCCAGCGCTCTGCTTGCTTTGGTGATCATTGCCAAGCTCCACCAAAGAGTCACATTCATTACATTGGTTTTCCAAAGCCCTCCTACTTAAGAGGTTGCTCAACTCAGCCCATCCTTTCCAATGAACTTCAGTGAAGTCCAGTCTTCCCTTCTGTCCTTTCATATGCATCAATTCATTTATCTACATTAGGTATCATTGTCATTTTAGTGCTGTAGCAAGGTTTCAAAGATGTTGCAATTCTTCAGTTGGCTGTGAACTCAAATTCAGGCAATGGATAACTTAAACTTAGCCATCACACTGCTCCCTTGCCACAGGCACTTGTGCTGGGATCCCTGGGGGCCATCCTCCACCATCAGGGACATTTGCTCCCTTCCCTGTTCCCTTTGGTACCCAAGCAGGGAGCCTGCCCGCTACCCTGTGGCTGCCTGGTTTCTGTACAAGCACCCAAAAGCTCCTTGGAGAGCTGGTACAAATGCTGGTGGAACCACATGGGTAGAAAAGCATCTCTGCAGAGATGGGTATCAGCTGTACAAGGCTGTACTTAGTAAAGCTTAGAAACCACTGAAAGAATGTGGTAAGATGAGAGCCTGGCTAAACCCAACAGCCACAGGGGATGAGTAAAGAAAACTGCACTTCAGCAGCTCTGCAGAAGTTTGAGAAACAAAGACAGAAGGAGTTAAAAATCCAAGTCTGACAATGGCTTGAGCAAATAGGGAAATGGTGGCATAGGGAACAAGAAAGAAACACTAGTGCTCTTTGTCTGTTTAACAGCTCTGTGTTAGCCACGTCAAAACAATTTTTGAAGAGGAGGCAGGTTTGGAGTGGAGCTAGTAACTGAGCTTCTGCCTGTTAATGTAGGAGAGGGACCGAGGAGAAAACTGGAGAGAGTCTACTAAAAACCACAGATGCCTGGCCAGAGACCTCAGAAAAACAACAGAACAGCAGAAGATGAAGAATGAGATTAAGAAGGGCATATTCCACCAGGGCAAAATTTACTTTTCCCCTCAAAGTTGAGGGTAAAGTAACACAACTGAGATTAGGCAAGAAGTAAGAGAAAGCATCCAGCAAGAACAGTTTCAGCAGCCACTGTATTGGAGATTTATCTGGGATTAATGAGAAAACTCCTGAAGAATTTATCAAGACATTCAGCAAATCCAGGAGATGGTTGTGGAAACCAGGTTCTTCAGAGGTCCTAAGTACTACTTCTATCCACCCCCTCCCAGCTCCACCTCAGCTGTGAAGGTCAGCCTTCTCACAATGGTCTTTGTCCCCAGTGACATTCTCGGGAAGAATTTCTCCTTGTTCCCCACTTCCACTTATCAGTTACTGCCACTGTTCCCTAGTTGCCCTTTTTGAACTGTATGCCAGTATTTAGATTTTCCTCATTCTCATGAACTCATACATGATTTTACATGGTTACTAGCCATCTTGACTCACCTGGGTATGCGTTTGCAAGGCAGAGCCTTGAATCATTACGCAGATACTTTTCAGACATACTTGAGCTCCTAGTTAAACATACTATCAAGCTCTGCTGTGGGTTCTTACCCCAACTAGTAGCTAGCTCCCTGTGAGCTGCAACCAAGACCAACTCCTATGAACTTGCATCAAGACTCATATCTGTGGGTTTCCTAATGAGCACCTCTCGGAGACAAAGCTCAAAAGAAAGAAGCCAACGCATCAGTAAACCCTTTGTTTTTCATGGCACTGCAGGAAGTCCATCAGGAAGAGCCAGTACAGCACTGCACAGTCTCACCCAATACGAAACTTTGTTTAGCACTAAACCTAGCAAATGAAGAGATTTCCTTGATTGTCACTAAGCATTTGCCCTATCTGTTGCTGGTTAATGACAGAGAAATTTACTAGTCCACCTGAAGAGAATGACAAAACATGTTCCCATTCCTTCCTCTCCCCCCCCATTAGTGCTTCTGCTAAGAGGTAAGTTTGTTAATATATCATTAAGTTTTCTTAAGCTATCTTCAAACTTCTTTGTTCCACACTACTGAGCAAACAATTTCCCCTACCCTAACAGAAGGGTTTTATTTTTAAACAAGCAGCTTACCATACCCCAAAAGGCTGCACCGTCTCTCACAAGGTCTGCAAAAAAGAAATGTCTGAAGTAGGAGTACACACACAATATATCATACAGTGAATACATATGGCACTATATGTGCATGGATATATATAGACACACACAGAGGTATCAATACGTAAGAACCACCATCCTAGGTGAGAATGTAAGTCCCTCTACATCTGTAACCTGTCTTTGACTAAGGCTTAGCAAAAGGTGCAAGTACAGAACTATCATGCTTTGTATACACATATATACAGAACTATGATGCTTTATATACACTATATATTTTTTATATTTTTTTAACCTGTCCAT